CTGCAAAGCTTTATCCAGCTGTGTGTGGGCAGGGTCATCAATAGCAATGATCTGTATATGCGCTTCTGACAAAACCTGCTTCGAAATATCTGTGTTTGTCTCCATCTGTCTACCCCTACCCTCCGAGTCTTGTAAGACCTTCCCTGTCCAGTTATACCCCTGTCTGCTGATAGCCAGGTTCTGTTTGACTCCTGTGCATTTCCCCTGTGACATCCGACCATGTTTCATCCATCCAGAAGCCGCCCTGCCTTTGAATCCACCACCTCCACATTCCAGTCTGGCTCATTCCCACCCTTGTCCCCTCTGCCCTTCTGCCCTGAGAACTCAAAGCATGCTGTGATCTGTGAACTCAACAAAAGATGCTATAATCTGCAAAATGCCTCCCTGTAGGAGTAAGTCCAAAACATTCAACTTTTTTTCTCTCATTCACTTGTAGTCTTGCTTTTTGTCCCCGAGGACTCTTGTTCTAATTTCTTCTCATCTACTGCTTTTGGTTTTTGTTTGTTCCTGTTTTTCAAAAAAAAAAAAAAAAAACTTAAAATTCATCATTAAGTTCTTATTTTATTTCTCTCTAATTTTAAAAGATTTATTTTTGCTATTTTTAATTATGTGATGTTCCTGTATGTAGGTATGCACATGTGAATGTGGTGTATATGGGGACAGATTCTCATGGAGCTGGAGTTTCAGGCAGTTGTGGGACAGTCCGTTTGGGGATGGTAAGTGCATTACTACATCCTCTGCAGCAACAGTACACACTCTTAGTTACTGGGCCATCTCTTCAGCCCCCTTTCTGTTCTTATAATGTAGGCTCCTAGGCTAAAAACTTCCCTTCACTGCCCCACAGGTTCTTCATTTCATCCTCAATTTCTCCAATGACCCATTCAGCATCCAACAGTATGTTGTTTGATCTCTATGAGTCTGTGTGTTGTCTTAAGACAGGATCTCACTTTGTAGTGCTGGCTGTCATGGAACTCTGTAGACCAACCTGACCCAGAATGCACAAAGATGCTGTCTCTGCCTCCTGAGTGCTGGGATTAAAGGTGTGCACCACAACACCTAGGCTCCACAGTTTCTTTTGCTGTAGATTTCCACCTTTAGTTCATGGTGATCACATAGAATACAAAAAGGTATTTCAATTTTCTTAATTTGTTGAGACCTCCCACCCAGTGGATTAACTGTTAACTTTGAATCAGTTTTCTTATGAGGGTTTCAGCTGACTCGGTTCACATTTCTTATGGCCCCACCAAACATTCTCATATATCACCACGCTATGCTCAACCCAACCGTAAGCATCAGCTGAGCACCAACACTGTGTCAGGACCATAATCAGTACTCTAATCAGGTGATTCAGCAAAGATGGAAGGTGTCTCTGATGGAGCAAGCGTGCACCATCATCCTCTCCACCTCTTCCCTATCACATCCTGTTCTTTGATGCAGCGTGACCCTTCACCCCAATCTACTCATCATTCTTCCAAAACCCTGAAGCCTACTGAGTCAGTTCTGTACAATGCCCAAAGCCTCAGGAATTCCCTTCATTCTCAGTGGCTCCTCTACTCCTGAAAACCTTGGCCTGCTATAAAATTGAAATTTATGATGTTTATGTCCTGACTTGGTCTAAGTGTGGAGGGATTCTTACTCAATCTTCTACCATCTCTCCCAGTGTGGGTCTTACCAAGTCAAATGTACTTGGAACATTTTGGTAGAATAACCATTTGTGTGTAATAACGTACAAAAGCCAGGTATAGCCCTTTGGAGTATGAGATGCCTGGTGTTCCTTCACATGAATATTCAAAAGCTCTGAAAGAAAGCCAAGGATTCAAGCTCTTTAAAGGAATCTTCTTTCTGTGAATTCTTTCCCTGAAAGGTCAGTTCATTGATATGCTAAAAAGCTCATTGTGTTCACACCTGCAACCACTGAAGTGTTGTCTTGATAACATCTCACCCAACTGTTTACACCAACTGTTCCCAGTGACATCGAATAAAGTAAACTAATATTTATTTTGTCAATATAGATCTGGTGTTAAAATATCACATCTTGTGGTTTATCTATGTAATGTAATATTTAGTGATATAATACAACAAGAGTAGTCTAAAATATGATATAATTCTAGGTTCCACGAGAATAAGAAAACATTACCTTCACATGTGTTCTGTAAATTAAGTTTGTATATTTCCCATCTTTTAGATTTTAACTCCTCAGCTTTTCCATGAGATTTATTCCTTTTTTATCATTTTTTATTTTAATTTTAAATAGCTTGTTTTACATGTCAATCCCAGTTCCCTCTCCCTCCCCTCTTCCCGCACTCCCCTTCCCCCCTCCCTCCCACGCTATTGCCAAATCCTTCCACATAGGGGATATCTAGAGTCTGTCATTTTACTCTTGGTAGGGTCAAGGCACTCAATGACTATTTTGGTTGTCAGGTTGACTATATCTGGAATGAACTATAATCCAGAAATGGAGGGCACACTTGTGCTCTGGATCTTGAGACAGGAAATCCACATACCTTTAATCCAGATCTTGAGGTGGGAAGCCAGAAGCCACACCTTTAATCTGGGCCACTACCTGCTGGAAGAAGGTAGTGATTGTTTTTCTCCTGCTTGCCCTGGCCTTGTCAGCATATCCATTCCTTCACTGGCATTGGAATCTTCTTCAGGATTCCAGCATACACAGAAGACCATCTGAGACACCCAGCCTTGTGGGACTGAGCAACTAACAAGATTCGCAACTAGCCATTGTTGTGAAAGGACATTGTGTCTGTAAGTCATTCCAATAGATTGCACCATGACCAATTGCAAGTCTCTGTATTATTTGCCTTCTACTGCAAACAGAAGTTCCTCTGATAAGGGTTGCATTAATCTGTGGTTATGATAGTAAGTCATTAGAAGTCCATTCAATATTATGTCCATTTAGTAGAATAATAGTGTGAGAACCTGCTATCTAGTCACAGGTTCTTGGATCTAATAATTGTGCTAGGTGTAGGTTTTTATGGGGTGGGGCTTAAGTCCACCCAGAAAGTGGTTGGTTACGCCCATGACATTTGTGCTACTATAGAGCCAGTGGTCACGTCATGTCAGGCTGGTTGCTATTATAACCCAAAGGTACACAGCTGGGTAAGGTTGGTGATTACTCTTCTCTGGTAGCATTCATAGCACCTTCCGGCAATGTGAAGCTAGCCAGGAGGAATAAAGCTCCAATTGCCAGCTTGACTTTTCTATGCTCTATGACTCAAGTGTGTAATATCTTCAACAATAGGGTCTTATTGTCAAATCCTGTGATATTTGGGGTCAATGGGACTTTACTGGCTAACAAATCTAAAACAGGTAATCCTTTCCTAGAACTGGGTTTATAATTGCTAGTCTGTAATCTTAACAGCTTAAAAGGTTTCTCACACTGGGCATTGGTGGCGCATGCTTTAATCCCAGCACTTGGGAGGCAGAGGCAGGCAGATCTCTGTGAGTTCGAGGCCAGCCTTGTCTAAAGAAAGAGTTCCTGGACAGCCAGGCTCCAAAACAGTACAGAGAAACCCTGTCTTGAAAAACCAAAAAAAAAAAAAAGAATTTTGGTATTAAAGTTACGTTAACTTCATTTTAAAAGCTGAGATGTTCCCTTTTTTCTAATACATTTGTATTAGTTTTTGTTTGTTTTGGGTTTTTTTCCATTATCATAATTATTTAAGATAAGGAAGGTATGTGTGGAAGGAAGATTTATTTGGGTTGATAATTTTGATTGACTGTCTTAATTTTTTTCAGGCCTACGGCAAGGCAGTGTGCTATTACCTGAGCATGAGGTGAGGCAAAACACATTATGACTAAGAAGCAAAATAGAACAAGAGTACTTTATTTTACTTGAGGGAGCATCCATGACCGAGCTCTGTATGTTTGTTGTTGGTATATAATAAACCTAACCAAGGAAGTGAAGGACCTCGCCAAAAAAAACTTTAAGCCTCTGAAGAAAAAGATAAAGACAATAGAAAATGGAAAGACATCCTATACTTGTGGGTTGATAGAATTAATATTGTGAATATGGTTATTCTACAAAAACCTATTTACAGATTCAATTCAATGCCAATAAAACTCCCATTCTCATTCTTTGCAGAAATAAAAAGGGGGGAACTATGTTAAAATTCATATGAACCCACAAAAGAGCCCACCTAGCTAAAACAATCCTCAGCAAACATAAAACCATGCTGGAGGTATTGCTATTTCAGATCCTAAGATATACTACAGAGTCATAGTAATAAAAACAAAATGCTATTGGCAAAAAAAATGGACACTTAGACCAATGGAGGAAAATCAAAGCCCCAAACATGAGCACATGTAATTTCTGTCCTTTAATAATTTGGCAAAGACCCCAAAGACATACACTGGGGGCAAAAACTATCTTCAATAAATAGTGCTGAAAAAACTGGATAGCACATGCAGAAGAATGAAATTAGACCTTTGTCTATCACCTTGCATAAAAAGTAACACCACGTGGCACAAACACCTAAAACTGAGCCCTGAGATACTGAAACTGCTACAAGAAAACATAGGCAGAACCCTCCATGATGTAAGTGTAAGAAAGGATTTCCTGGCTAGGGTCCAGTTGCTCAAGAATTAAAGCCAAAAATTGACAAGTGGGACTCCATAAAACTAAGCAGTTTCTGCACAGCAAAAGAAATAATTGACCAGAAAGGGAGAAAATCTTGCAGCTGTACATCTGACAGAGGATTAATATCTAGAATATACAAAGAACTCAAAAAACAAAGTACCAAAAAGAGAAAAGAAAACAATGATTCATTCAAAAAAATGGGCCTGAGACCTGAATAGAGATTTCTTTTTTTTTTTTTTCAGAACATTTCTTTATTTTTCACTAAGACTTTCCCAGGGGACATAATTAACCTTGTCACCACCCCCACCCCCATAAAGGGTTAGTGCACTCACTGCTATAGAGCAGATAGGAACAGTTTCAAGGACCGGAACCAACCTTAAATGGCAAAAAAAAAAAAAAAAAAAACCACTTTCTGAGTTATCATAAAAATGTTTAAGTAAAAAAAGAAAGAAAAGGAGCAAAGGGGGAGCAAATGGTGGTTTCTGAATAAAAAGATCATTCACGTTTCATGTCATACATTCAGTCTTGGCTCTAGTAACAAAATGGAAACAGGATTACTATCATACATTTTGTTCACTGCAGCACGCTGTGTGCACCTGTTCCAAGCTGACCCCCAGCCCCTGATGCTTCCAATTTGGTTACTTCCCAGCCTGTTGGGCCTGTCGACGAAGGAGCATGTAGATCTGATCTTTGATGCAGTCTTTGTTATAAGGCTGGTAGTCTGTGTATCAGCTCGGTTTCAAGACTGCTGAGATCTGCCAGATCGTCAATAAAATCAAACAATTGACTGATATCCTGTGTGATAGAGGGGCTGCTGGGATTCACTCTCTTCAGGTGTCCTTCATACATTTCACAAACACCTTCCATGCATTCATTCACAGACTCATAGTCAGCGCAAGTCCTGCCTTCTGGCCTCTTGGTAGGCTGTACCAGCAAAAAGGTGTGAGACATCGCGCCGAACGCTTTGCTGCAGCCGCTGCTAACACCGCCGCCGCCACAGCACACGAGCTCAGCTGCAACCGAGAATTCTTAAAAGAAGGAAAATCTTTAGCTAAGAAAGATCTCAAAAAATTTTCATCATCCCCAGCAATTAGGGAAATGAAAATCAAAACAACTTTGAGATTTCATCTTACCTCAGTCAGGCAAGCTTCCAAAGGAGGGAGGCAACCAAAAATCCTACCCAGATGCGACCCCTATGAGCCACATCAATACCCAGCATGGCACCATAACCCTAAGGGTGCTGGCTGGAGTGGTGCATACCAATTGCTCTCCAATTGTTCTTAAGACCTCTCAACAAGGAGGAGAGCATGCCTGGTACTGGAAACTTAGCTAGCAACACAGTGCTAATGGATCCGTGACTATTGGTGGAGAATCTAGAACCAAACTAGCATAATCCCTCACAACAATCTATACATTTTCCCATATGCCCACAGATAAGTGTAGTCTTCCCCTCTCATCAAAGAAATTCTCTTTGCAACAGATATGTCTCACCACATAAAACCAAAACCAATCAGTCAGCAGAGTGGAGGTGCACAGTCTCAATGGGTATGTCTACAGAACGCTCCCACACCTAAGGCTCAAGGAACATTGCAGCAGAGAGCAGAAAGATTGCAAGAGCCAAACGATCAGTGTAGCCGGCTTTTTTGGACTGCCAGCCCCCAAATGATGACACAGAGACGTATTATTAGTTATGAATTCTTGACTTTAATTTAGGCTTCTCCTGTTAGCTCTTCTAGAACTTATTTTAACCTGTTTCTTTTCATCTATGTTTTGCCTTGGAGCTTTTTATTTTCTTTCATTCTGTATGTCTTACTTTTCTGCTTTCTCCTTCTCTGGCTGGCCTAGATTCCTCTTACTTATTCTCTGTGTCTGACAGTTCCACCTATCCCTCTACTGCCTAGATATTGGCTATTCAGTTTTTTATTAGACCAACCAGGTGCCTTAAGCAGGCAACATAAAACCAATGCAATACATCTTTACAACCAGCTAAGATTCCTAGCAACAATGAAGAGAGTGCCTGAAAGTGGCCTTCCCCTGTAATCAGACTGATGAATACCTTAGCTGTCATCATAAAACCTCCACCCAGTAACTGATGGAGTAGATGCAGAGATCCACAACCAAGTACCAGGCTGAACTCCCAGAGTCCAGTCAAAGAGAGGGATTATATGAACAACGGGGTTAGGATCATGATGGAGAAATCCAGAGACAGCTGACTTGAGCTTGTGGGAGCTCACAGACTCTAAACTGACAGCTGAGGGGCCTGCATGGGACTGAACTAGGCCCTCTGTATGCGGGCAACTGTTGTATAGCTTGGTCTGTTTGAAGAGGCCCTGGCAGTGGGACCAGGATCTATTCCTGGAATATGAGCTGGCCTTTTGGAGCCCATTTTCTGTGATGGAATGCCTTGCTCAGCCTTGATGCGGAAAGGAGAGGGGTGGGGCTTGGTCCTGCCTCAACTTAATGTGCTAGGCTTGGTCAACTCTCCACAAGAGGTCTTACCCTTTCTGAGGAGTGGATGGGAGTGACTTGGGGGAAGGTGGAGAGGAGTGCTGAAGGAGAAGAGGGAGGAGGAACTGTGGTATATAAAATGGATAAAAACTTAAAAATAAAAAATTCAACACTTTGCAGCATAAACAAAGATAACATCTTTACATAGTTAAACAAAGGCAGCATAAACAAATGTAGCACATCTTTGCCTAGGAAAAGAGATGTCCTATTCCACAACAGATCAGCAACTCTTCTGTGAGATGTTCTAGCAACATCAGAAATTATACCAGTGAAGTCTGACCAACATGACCGACTGAGCATGCCCAAACAACGCTGTTGCTAATAAACACGCCGAAGGGGTGGGGAACAGAGACCTCAACCCTACACAAAGAACTCCAGGCAACTGAAGAAAGCTGGGAGCCAGAGAGGTGGCCCTCCTCAGGGCAGAGCACACAAATTGGTTGTTCTGTGCCCTATGGTCAGACCCTGAAAACATACACACAAGAAACATTACATGGATGCAACAATATATTTGGGAATAAATGTATAAATAAATAAATATTCATGCAATAACGATTGATGAAGGGAGCATGAATTTAGAAGACAGCAGGGAGGGATATATGGAAAGGTTTAAAGGGAGGAACAGGAAGGGAGAAATTATGTAATTACATTATAATCTCAAAAATATTTTGTAAAGAGTTAAAAGGACTCCCTGACTTGAAGATGGAGATGCAAAGATAATATTTGCCAGGACTCTTATCTACAGATGAACACAAATTTCTCGAGAAAACCTAGGAGTGTGTTTGATCTTCCAGGCCACTGGCAATGAGTATGTCCTCTCAAGGGAGCCTTAAAAAAGGACCAAGTAAAATTATCCCCAGGGACACACTTGGAACGGTCAGGCCTCAAGAATGAATAGTTGGCTTTCTTACAGATGGCTGCCATAGTAACCAGCTAGAAGCTCTTGTCAGTCTGGATGGGGGGAGGGAGGGGGCTCATGTGCTCAGGCAAGCACACCTGAGAGATAGGAAGGAAGGAGGGAGGGGGCAAGAGCCCAGCCCTATAAATGCACAGCTAGTCTGCAGCAAATGCCCTGCACCCTCACTCTGAACCTCCGGATTCCTCTTCTGCATCCAAGGCCAGCACAGACAATGTCCTCATCAGCCTGTCCCAAACCCCAGGGTCAAGGTCAGTGAATAAACTCTCTTCTGCTATGAAGCTGACCTTGTCTCTGACCTTGTCACCAGAACCAAGCATACTCTGGGTTTCTCAGCATTCACATCACACAGGGCTCTGTACACGGTGGCCATGAGAGAGGTCACAGACTTAACCCTTTGTCTTGCTCAGTGTCTACCTCTAGAGTCCACCAGAGTCTCTGCTGCCCTGGATTTTTCACTGCATTACACACTCCTCTGTGTCCTCCCTACATCCATCCATCAGGATCTCAGTCTGCCACCTGCTCCCCTCCCCCGCATCACTTAGACCACAGGGAGGGCTTCTTCCTTAGTCCTAGCTCTGTATCAGCACCCAAGCATGGGAAGCCTTCTGCCGGTCCCCCTGACTTTCCATTTTCGTCTTGTCCGTAGGCGGAAGCTCCTGGAATCTCGCCTACTGTGCTTCTCTGTACTTACCTATTCATGTCCATGGTTTTCACAGCTCATTATATTTTGGTCAATTGAACTCCTTGGTTTTCCACACCCTTCCTTCTATACTGTTTGGTGAGAACCCTCCCTCTCTCTGACTATGTTCTCTTGTTTTTGCTTTTCCTAAGCCTCTATGTTTGTGCATCTTAGTACTTTCTGCTTCATTGATACTTTTTCCTCTTTCCCTGTGGAAAGGGAGGCTAGGAAATGTCTCAAGGATGGTTCTCTTTCAGAGATTGTGATAAAGGGATTGCCTTCCCATTTCACTGGGGATTTTTCTGTGGTGGGGCTGGTGTTTGCAATGTCTATCGGAGTCAGATAAGAGGAAAGACTAGTTAAAACAGAAAACAAACAAGTGAGGAGTACAGAGCTATCTGAGACTAAGAAGCAGGAATACTAGGGAAGAGTGTAAAAGGTAGGTGAGGGCCTCCCTTTTCTGGATGTCTACAGCAGCTAGGGCTTGTGAGTAGGAGGCCAGGCAATCTTTGAAGCAGGACTTTGAAGCATGAAGTGAAGCCATAGAAGACAAAAAGGAAACTGAATCAAAATTAATTATACGGTTTTAGTTAATCTGCATTTCCTAGGAATAAAACGTGAGACAGCCTGTCAACTCACCTCTAGAGCTGAATTTCAGACATCCCTCTGCCTCTACTGGGGATGGAGTTAAAAAAGTGGGACGTGTTGGTTTTTAATATGTGAACATTAATGTATTTTATTTTTCAGTGTAAACACGAGCTTTATAGGTCATTTCTAAATGATTGTATATGGTGGAAAAACTATATATTCAAGGAAAATAATCACTCCTAAGGCATTTATTTAGCTTGAAGTAACAATGTAACTTCTCTCTGTGCTTCAAATCTAACTCAAAATAAGGATAATTTTTTCATTTACAAATGAATGTCATATACATTTGTGTTGTGAAATATGACATTGCTTGGCCAGGTGCGGTGTCAAACACCTTTATTCCCATACTAGGAGGCAAAGGCAGGTGGAGCTTTCCATGTTCTTGGCTAGCCTGGTCTACACAGTGAGCTCTAGGGCAGCCAGATCTACTTAGTAAGAGCCTGCCTCAAACAAACAAATGGTTTCTCACTTGTTTGTCTGTTTTCTGAAGCTCTTGGGATTGAAACCAGAAATTTGCCCCTAGTAGGCAAGGCAAGTCCCCCCCACTGATGTTTTCATATATATTCACATATATATATATATTGTAAAAAGATTAAATTAAAGCCAACTGACATATTGATCACCTCATGAAAGTATCCATTTGAGATGAGGATGTTTAAAACCCATTTACTCAGCAATTTTCAGGTGTATAATACATAATTACTAAACATAGTCACCCTGTTGTACAATAGATTTCATGAATTTATTTCTCATGACTATCACAAGTTGTATGTCTTTAGACCAACCCCCGCCTCTATCCTGCCTCTGAGGAACACCTCTCTGCACTCTGTGCCTTTGACATGGAGTTTTAGATACCACATACTGTGACTACTCTAGAGCTGCTTTTCATATTGTTGATGGTGTATTTTTTGATATGGGATAACATGAATGTTACTGATAACCACTTGGGATTTTGAGGGGTCCAATAGTACTTACTGCTCTTTCATCTTCTATTGAATAAACAGAAGAAAAGTGGAGTGAGTCAACAGAGAGAGAGGGGTTTGTTGACCCTTCTTTCTCTGTTGACTCTCTGACTCCACTTTAGCAACAACAATAAACAAACCTACATGGACTTCTGTGTGCCTGAAGTTTGGTGGGCTCATTCCACAGCCACTGGCAGCACCAGGCAGTACCAGAACCTCCTAAACAGGAGCAGCACCCACCCTGAAGAACGTAAGAAACAAGTTTCTCATTCAAAAAGAACAAAAAAAACAACAAAACAAATATTTGGGTGGCCACTTCCTGTCATCTGTGGTGGAATAAAGGAAGTCAGACGATCCCTGTCACGTGG